AAAGTTTCAAGCTTAATTGACAAGCTTCCACCTTCTTGGGATAATTTTGCTAAGACCCTTAGACATAAGCAAGGAGAGTTAACCTTAACCCAAACTATAAACGCGCTTAAGGTTGAAGAGAAGCATAGGATTAGTACAAACTCACAAAATGAGAGACCCCCTAAGGTAAACCTAGTGAAAAATAGTAACAACAACCATAACAATTTCCGACCTAGGGAAAGAAATTTTAATAATAAGAGGTTTAATGGTCGTCCTAATAATGGTCAAAAACAAAACTATCAAAATAATAATAATAATAATAAGTTCAAGGGCTTAGGAAGAGAGAGGATGTCTTGCTTTGTTTGTGGACGAACCAATCACTTGGCTAAGGATTGCTACTACAAGAAGACTGAGGCATATAAGCCAAAGCCCAAGCCAAATCAAAGAAGTCCAAGAGCCCAAGTCAATGTTCTAATGGATGGAGATAATTCTGCCGAACCCTCCTTTAGGTATAATCGTTCTCTAGTTAATTTTACTTATCAAGATAAAGATTGGTGGTTAGACTTTGGGGCTAATATACATGTTTGCTTTGATCATGATTTATTTAAATCTTATCAGAAATCAAGTAGAGGAAGTGTAACACTAGGAAATGATTCTGTCGCACAAGTACTTGGAATTGGAGATATGGAGTTAAAGATGACATCTGGGAAGACATTGATCTTGAAAGGAGTGTGACAAGTTCCTAAAGTTAGAAGAAATTTAGTCAATGTGTCGTCCTTAGTCCAACAAGGTTATAAGGTTGTAATGGAGTCAAATAAAGTTGTGATAACTAGGAATGATATATTTGTTGGCAAACGATATGTTTGTGATGGTTTATTTAAATTGAATGTACTTTCGGAAGTTAATGAAATTTTTCATCAAGCTTTCAATGTTGAATCTTGCAATGTATGACATGGAAGATTAGGACACATAAGTCTAAAGAAAATCAAAAGGATGATGGATCTCAATCTTATTCCCAAATCTCATGTAGATTTTAAACATAAATGTGAAATTTGTGTACAAGCCAAACAAACTAGAAAACCTCATAAGAGCGTAGAAAGGAATATCCAACTTCTAGAACTTATACATAGTGATGTATGTGATTCTAGTAGATCACCAACAAGAGCCGAAAATAAATATTCTGTAACTTTTATAGATGATTGTTCTAAATATTGTTATATTTATCTTATCAAGAATAAATATTAAGTATTTAATAAGTTTAAGATATATAAAAATGAGGTTGAAAATCAATTAGAGAGAAAAGTGAAAAGATTAAGGTCTAATAAAGGTGGTGAATATACTCTAACCGACCTAAGTACATTTTGTGAAGAATATGGAATAATACATGAAGTGACTCATTCTTATTCTCCTCAATCAAATGGGGTAGGTGAAAGAAAAAATAGAACTTTAATAGATATGGTAAATTCAATGTTGACTAGTTCCGGCTTGTCTGATAATTTGTGGGGGAAAACTATACTGAATGCTAGTTTCATCTTGAATAGAGTATATGTTAAAGATAATGAGAAAACTCCATATGAGATATGGAAGGGAAGAGTTCTTAACCTTAGTATCATGAAAATGTGGGGGTGTTTAGCTAAGGTAGTTATTCCCGAACCAAAGAGAAAGAAAATAGGTCCTAAGACCGTAGACACCGTATTTATAGGATATGCCCAAAATAGTAGTGCTAATAGATTCTTAATTATTAACTCAGACATTAGTGGAATTTCAAACAATACTATAATTGAATCTAGAGATGCTACATTTTTTGAAGATATTTTTCCTTTTAAAAATACAATGCCTAGTCAAGTAAGAGAAACACTTTCAACTAGTACTAGTTCTATTGCTCCAATAGAGAAAAATATAGAACAACATGTAGAGCTAAAGAGGAGGAAAAGACCAAGAATAGAGAAGGACTTAGGAGAAGGATTTTTTACTTTTCTAGTAGAAGGAGAGCCAATGACATATAAAGAAGCTATGTTTTCTATAGATGCACCTTTTTGGAAGGAGGCTATTAATAGTGAAATTGAATCTATATTGCTTATTAATACTTGGGAGATAGTAGAATTGTCTCTTGGAAGCAAAGCTATTGGGTGTAAGTGGGTATTTAAGAAGAAATTAAAACCTGATGGGAGTATAGATAAATATAAAGCTAGATTGGTGGCTAAAGGATTTACTCAAAAGAAAGAAATAGATTATTTTGATACATACTCGTCTGTGACTAGTATTACTATCATTAGAATACTAGTAGCTCTAGCATCTATCCATAACTTAGTAATACATCAAATGGATGTTAAGACCGCTTTCCTAAATGAGGATTTAGATGAAGAAATATATATGGAACAACCTGAAGGGTTTATGGTGAAAAGACAAGAACATAAGGTTTGTAAGTTAGTGAAGTCTTTATATAGCCTTAAACAAGCTCCCAAACAGTGGCATGAGAAGTTTGATAAAGTAATTCTAGAGTATGGTTTTCAAATTAATGAAAATGATAAATGTTTATACTACAAGGATAGTGATGTTGGTTGTGTGATTTTATGTCTCTATGTAGATGATATACTAACTTTTGAGACAAATTTGGAAGTCGTTAATGATGTTAAATCTTATTTATCTACTAAGTTTGATATGAAAGAATTGGGAGAAGCCTATGTGGTCTTGGGAATGAAAATAAAGAAAACATCAAATGAAATATCTCTAAATCAGTCTAGCACCATAGAAAAAATGTTGAAAAAGTTTGGTTTTTATGATAGTAAGTCTGTATCAACACCATACGATCCTCATATACATTTGAAGAAAAATAAAAGAGAACCGATTTCACAATTAAAGTACTCACAAATGATTGATTCTTTATTATACATAGCAAATAAGTCTAGACTTGATATCTCGTATGCCGTAGGGAGACTAAGTAGATATACACATAGTCCGAGTAAAGAATATTGAGTTGCCTTAGAGAGAGTCTTTAAGTATCTTAAAGGAACTTTAGACTACTCTTTATGTTATAGTGGATTTCCTAGTGTAGTTGAGGGCTTTAGTGATGCAAATTGGATCACCGATAGTTTAGATATAAAATCTACTACTGACTATGTCTTTCTGTTAGGAGAAGCAACCATATCTTGGGGATCTAGAAAACAAACCCTAATATCAAGAAGTACTATGGAGTCAGAACTTATAGCCTTAGATACCACATGTGCTAAGGCTGAGTGGATAAAGAATTTATTACTAGAGATACCTATGGTGGAAAAACTCATACCTGCCATTTCATTACACTGTGATAGTAAGGCAGTGATTGAGCTTGTGAAGTAAAATCATAATAATAAAAAGATGAATAGACATATCCAAGTGAGATATAAATCAATAAAGAAAATGCTGAGTAAAAACATAATCTCACTAGACTTTGTGAAGTCTGAGCTTAATATAACTGATCAGCTAACTAAAGGACTTTCGAGGAAAGCTGTCTCAGGACTGTCGAGGGGGATGGACTTAAGCCCACAAGGGAGTCACCTAGGGAGGTAACCCAACTTCTGTTATTTGGGACCCCATGAAGGAAGTTCAATGGGTAGCAATAATCCATACTGCATGACTCATTAGCATTGTTATTAAGGAAATATCCAATAGGAGATATTTTCCTGCTCATCCCTATGGCAGAAGTGCATATGTAGTGTGACAGTAAGGAAGGGTTTTACCTTGAATGAGACCGAGGCAAGAATACTCCTGCAGGGTATTGTGCACATGTACCCTTAGAGAGCTCACCTAAGTGAGAGTAGTCGTGAGGCCGTGACTATGAGAATTGTGCTATTCTCGAGCAACTCTCATGAGAATCAAGATCAAGTGCAAGACCATTAATAGCACTGACCCGCGAATCTTGACCAATATTGATACTGTGTGTGTAACATGTTAAACTCTGGTTCAAAGGATCTAGTTCAAGCCTTTGGTCACTATGATCCTTCAGAGGAAAATTGTCAACACTAAGTGAGGTTCAAGTCCGGAAGACACCTACACCTATTGCACAGTATAATAGTTGCCCATATTTTCTATATTACAGTATATATAAAATATTTGAAATATTTTGAAGTTTTAAAAACTTGTGGGGGATTGTAAGAATAAAATTAAGTTTTTAAAACTTTTATTAAATTTCCATTTTATTTATGTGAATTTCGGTTGCAAATTTTTTGGTCCTATTTAGTGTGAATATTTAAGAATAATTATTGTTGATCTTAAAATTGGTTTTATGGGTATTCAAGGCTAAACATTCAAATCCATTATATATATATATATCATTTGTAGGTTACATAGTAGCCAACAGCCAAAAAGAAATTGGAAAGTCCGCATGTGCAAAACAATTGAAAATCATTGAATAGTAATCATGTTCCAAAAGGCTAGAAAAGAAAATTTGAATAGTCATTGTATGCACATTAGACACACAGTGGCTATATAAATTTTTTGAGAAATTATTTTCAAGTGAATAAAATAGAAATACTACGGTACTTATTTCAGTAGACTTTTGCTCATATCAATTCTTTTATATTTTGGCCTATCTTTTCCGATTATCTTCTATTACTTTATTTTTGAGACAATTTGATTCCAGTCAGGTTCACTTCAATCTTCCAGTGAACGTGATTATTGAGAAGGTATTGCTGCGAGAGTCTGTGTTGGATCTTGGAGTCACTGGGTATCCGTCAGTACCCTCACGTGGGAAGGTTCAACTGCTTTAAGACAGTAATCACACATCTTTCGAACTCGCTGGCCAGCTCATTCTAAATTAATTTATTTAGTTTATTTAGATTTCATATTTATACATTTTCTGTATTTATTTAAATTGCATGTTATATGATCTAACTATTGTTTACATGTTTTATTTCGAATTTTAGATTACAACACTCATAATTATATTGCTCACATCATAATTCTAATAATTATTGGTTTGGCCAAAAGTTTAGTAGCAATTTTATTAATTCCAATTATAAATATATGCTTACAAACTATAATTATTTATACAAATCTGAGATGTCATCAAGCAATAAAAGATAACCGACGTTGAGTCCATTGGGTAAAGCCACGCCATCGGTGGGAACACTAGAGCCATATCCATACCTTGGATCAGTAAGCATTGCACTGGACATGGTGTTGAAAGTTGTTGGTGGAAGAGGAGGAAGCTGAGGGTCTTGAACAAGAACTGGCTGTTCATTTGCGTTGGAAAGTAGAACTACCCCTTCATTATCAATTATAATACCCCCATTATCCTCGTGTTGTTGTTCTCCATTGGCTTTACCTGCTGCTTTCTCGTACATTTTGCACAAAACCCACTTATCCAACTACAAGCAAAAGAAAAAAAAAATAGTTAGTTACTACTAAATTATAGGTAACAGGATAGCTCATGTAATAACAGGGACAAATTGAAAAATCACGTAAACTGACCCAGACATGCCTGACCATTGAACAAAAAAAAATAAAAAAAAAATTGGTTATTTTTTATAATATGCATGCAATGGTGTAAAATAGGATAAATGGTTCACATATAGTATAACTAGTTCCTACTTTATTTCAATGAGAATGGTTTACCAAGGAAGTTGATGAAAAATGTATATGAGGAGGTCGAGATCCTAAACACGGCGTATATAATACATAAGCTCAACACAAAATGATCCAAATTATACATGATTATAAATTCGCTTGGGTATGAATGGGACAAAAAATAAATAAACTTTATCATGACACGAATTCGATATAACATGATTAATTCATGATGTTTACTCGTATCTTATGTGACCTTGAGGATCTATGCCCACTAATTTGAATAATTTGGCTGAAAAATAAGAGTACATACCTCTTTGTCATTAGGATTCGTACTTGGACGTGGATCAGCCTGTTTGCCATATCTATATTCATGCATCATCCACTTAGTCTTGACTGGAAGTTTTACTTCCTTTTCCTCTATCTTTTCCTGTCTCTTTCCCTTTTCGGTGCTTCCCTTGAAGAACACTAGAGATTTCTTGCATCCAATTTCTTCGCCATTGCTATAGATGGGGACATCAGCTCCCATCGGCTTCCAAAATCCCTCATCATGTACTAATCGGTCTGGTCGAGTGCTATTTGAGTATTTCTTTACCCTTGGAAAAAAAAAAATACCACACGGTTTCTCTATGTAATTTGAACATTTTTGTCATCAATTCAAAGCCAAAACATTATTATTCATATAAAATCCAACCTCAAAGATAATACAAATAATATTATAGTTAAATTAAATATTTAATTGTAATTTAAAAATTATTTTTTATACTTTTCAAGATGTGAATGTACTAATTGAATATTTGAATTATGTGTTGTTAATATATCTTTTTCAGCCAATAATGTTACTAATCCATTCAAAGTCTAATAATTAATTTAATGGCAAGATAAATATTTATTCAATTTAATAGGTGTTAGATTATGAAAAATAAAAAAATATGTGAACAACAATATTCAAACACAATATCACATGCTTAGGTATTGTTTTATGCCAAAAAAAAAAAGTAGCAAGCTTAATTGAAATTGAACAAATCGAAATTTTCAAAAGACCAATCTATATTGAAATAATTTATCACATACCAATCCACCAGTAGTTCCACGCAAACTCATGCTCAAGGTATGGACAACATGTTTCATAATTAAGGCAGTAAAAACAAGATTATTCACATTCTACAAAAATAATAATAACAACTTGCATTGAACATGAATTTTCATATTGTTGCTTTGTCCAAAAAAAATAAAATTAATCACACTGTTTGGAAGCTTTTCAACTTGAATAAGTGAACATGAACAAGTAGAAGAGAGAGAGAGACATGAAGGTGAGAAAGACTAACTCGAGAGTATCTGAGGACTATAGTCATAGAAATAGAAATCCCGAATCTGATTTCGAGGTAAGGTTTCGTTCAAAACCTTCTTCTTCAAGTAGATGCCAATCAATTATAAGTATTTTTACCCTTGTTGTGGCACTTATAATACATCCTAAATTTTTAGTGGTCAATATCTGTACGATATGAAAAAAAAAATTGGTACCTTAAACTTGTCCTTATTACACTCAATTCGTATTTTATAGATTTAATATATATATCCAATTTAATTATAATCGGACCAACAATATATTTATGTGTGCATATGTTAATATGATGAAATTGGAGGATTATAAGACAAATTTTCGTTGAATTTCATGGGATTTCCTACAATTTAAAAAAAATTAATTTAATTGAATGGGTCAGATTTTTTTAGTCTCCTCACCAATCATGTTCTTTACATTAAATTTTCAACTGCATTATTAGTTTCACATTGCCCAAATTATGCATTATTAGTTTCACATTGCCCAAATTATTAATTTACGCCAAAATTTTGATAAAANTTTAGATTACAACACTCATAATTATATTGCTCACATCATAATTCTAATAATTATTGGTTTGGCCAAAAGTTTAGTAGCAATTTTATTAATTCCAATTATAAATATATGCTTACAAACTATAATTATTTATACAAATCTGAGATGTCATCAAGCAATAAAAGATAACCGACGTTGAGTCCATTGGGTAAAGCCACGCCATCGGTGGGAACACTAGAGCCATATCCATACCTTGGATCAGTAGGCATTGCACTGGACATGGTGTTGAAAGTTGTTGGTGGAAGAGGAGGAAGCTGAGGGTCTTGAACAAGAACTGGCTGTTCATTTGCGTTGGAAAGTAGAACTACCCCTTCATTATCAATTATAATACCCCCATTATCCTCGTGTTGTTGTTCTCCATTGGCTTTACCTGCTGCTTTCTCGTACATTTTGCACAAAACCCACTTATCCAACTACAAGCAAAAGAAAAAAAAAATAGTTAGTTACTACTAAATTATAGGTAACAGGATAGCTCATGTAATAACAGGGACAAATTGAAAAATCACGTAAACTGACCCAGACATGCCTGACCATTGAACAAAAAAAAATAAAAAAAAATTGGTTATTTTTTATAATATGCATGCAATGGTGTAAAATAGGATAAATGGTTCACATATAGTATAACTAGTTCCTACTTTATTTCAATGAGAATGGTTTACCCAAGGAAGTTGATGAAAAATGTATATGAGGAAGTCGAGATCCTAAACACGGCGTATATGATACATAAGCTCAACACAAAATGATCCAAATTATACATGATTATAAATTCGCTTGGGTATGAATGGGACAAAAAATAAATAAACTTTATCATGACACGAATTCGATATAACATGATTAATTCATGATGTTTACTCATATCTTATGTGACCTTGAGGATCTATGCCCACTAATTTGAATAATTTGGCTGAAAAATAAGAGTACATACCTCTTTGTCATTAGGATTCGTACTTGGACGTGGATCAGCCTGTTTGCCATATCTATATTCATGCATCATCCACTTAGTCTTGACTGGAAGTTTTACTTCCTTTTCCTCTATCTTTTCCTGTCTCTTTCCCTTTTCGGTGCTTCCCTTGAAGAACACTAGAGATTTCTTGCATCCAATTTCTTCGCCATTGNAGTTAGTCTTGACCGGAAGTTTTACTTCCTTTTCCTCTACCTTTTCTTGTCTCTTTCCCTTTCCGGTGCTTCCCTTGAAGAACACTAGAGATTTCTTGCATCCAATTTCTTCGCCATTGCTATAGATTGGGACATCAGCTCCCATCGGCTTCCAAAATCCCTCTTCATGTACTAATCGGTCTGGTCGAGTGCTATTTGAGTATTTCTTTACCCTTGGAAGAAAAAAATATCACATGGTTTTTCTATGTAATTTGAACATTTTTGTCATCAATTCAAAGCCAAAACATTATTATTCATATAAAATCCGACCTCATAGATAATACAAATAATATTATAGTTAAATTAAATATTTAATTGTAATTTAAAAAATATTTTTTATACTTTTCAAGATGTGAATGTACTAATTGAATATTTGAATTATGTGTTGTTAATATATCTTTTTCAGCCAATAATGTTACTAATCCATTCAAAGTCTAATAATTAATTTAATGGCAAGATAAATATTTATTCAATTTAATAGGTGTTAGATTATGAAAAATAAAAAAATATGTGAACAACAATATTCAAACACAATATCACATGCTTAGGTATTGTTTTATGCCAAAAAAAAAAGTAGCAAGCTTAATTGAAATTGAACAAATCCAAATTTTCAAAAGACCAATCTATATTGAAATAATTTATCACATACCAATCCACCAGTAGTTCCACGCAAACTCATGCTCAAGGTATGGACAACATGTTTCATAATTAAGGCAGTAAAAACAAGATTATTCACATTCTACAAAAATAATAATAATAACAACTTGCATTGAACATGAGTTTTCATATTGTTGCTTTGTCCAAAAAAAAATAAAATTAATCACACTGTTTGGAAGCTTTTCAACTTGAATAAGTGAACCTGAACAAGTAGAAGAGAGAGAGAGAAACATGAAGGTGAGAAAGACTAACTCGAGAGTATCTGAGGACTATAGTCATAGAAATAGAAATCCCGAATCTGATTTCGAGGTAAGGTTTCGTTCAAAACCTTCTTCTTCAAGTAGATGCCAACCAATTATAAGTATTTTTACCCTTGTTGTGGCACTTATAATACATCCTAAATTTTTAGTGGTCAATATCTGTACGATATGAAAAAAAAAATTGGTACCTTAAACTTGTCCTTATTACACTTCAATTCGTATTTTATAGATTTAATATATATATCCAATTTAATTATAATCGGACCAACAATATATTTATGTGTGCATATGAAAATATGATGAAATTGGAGGATTATAAGACACATTTTCGTTGAATTTCATGGGATTTCCTACAATTTTAAAAAAATTAATTTAATTGAATGGATCAGATTTTTTTAGTCTCCTCACCAATCATGTTCTTTACATTAAATTTTCAACTACATTATTAGTTTCACATTGCCCAAATTATTAATTTACGCCAAAATTTTGATAAAAAGTTATTTTATTTTGTCCCTTAAATTATGTGTTTATTTCACTTTTCACCGTAACCGTTAACAATTTCTCTCCAAAAGATAATAAATGTTTGTATTTGGAGCGACATGAAAACAATTCAAGTAATTGAGCGGGTGATATAAAAAATTCAATAGTTTAAGGAATAAAATAAAATTTAATCAAAAATTAAGGTTTTCAAAGTTTAATTGTCCCTTTTTGATAAGGTTTTGAACTACTAGACTTTCCGTACCATTAACTGATTTTAATTCCAACTAGACTTAGAACTAGTTAGTGCCCATCTAAGCCTATCAATATTCAACTGCAAAGTGCTAATGTTTTCTTCATGTACCGTCCTAATTTTTATTTTTTTGGAGTTAAAAACTAAGTAATCAATATACCTATATATAGATACATATGAATATATAAAAAAATTGGAGGATTATATGATAATATTAATTAAAATTCATGAAATTGCTAAAATTCAACATAATCATGTTAATTATCTGTTCTGATTTTCAAGTTTGGAGCTAATATCTACCAAGTCTTTGTCAATATTCATGTTAGAGTTGTCAATTCGTCTCGCGTCGTGTGATCTATGGGTTAGTATCTTTGTGGTCGTGTTCATTTTCGTGTTTATGTCAAGATTCACGAAAAAAAAATTTATTTATTAATTGAAATCTATTTATTATACATATTTATTAATCGTATAAATTTTAAAATTATGTCGTGTTGAGTTTGTGTTAATAGATCAGAGATGACATGAAGAAGATGCGCTGCCAAAGGAAGAAACATTAAAAAAGATCAAACAAAATAAGAGTTTACCTGTTGGCACTTAGAGCTTTATCGACTCTAAGATATTTTACTAAAATTTGTTCTTTAGGCCTACACAAGGTCGGTTTATGGTAATTAGCATTAAATCTAAGTTTTCATGCTACAGTATAGCATGAAACTAAGTGGAAAAAAACAAAGTTTTCATGCTATAGTGTAGCATGAAACTAAGTTGTTAACTTACATAAATGAAAGTCATGGCAGTCAGTCGTATGTTAATTACCATAATACCTTGGTACCAAGGTATTATGGTAATTAGCATCAAAACTAAGTTTTCCTGTTACAGTGTAACACGAAACTAAGAGGGAAAAAAAAAGTTTTCATGGCGTAAAAAACAAAGTTTTTGATGGGCCAAGCCTAAGAGTCAAGCCTAAGAGTCTAACTTATGTTATAAGCTCAAGGGTCTAACTCTAAGAGGTTCAGTTAGTCAAGTCCAAAAGAATCTGCATCCGGTCAATCTCATCAGATTCAGGAGTTACATTAGTAGAGGAGTACGAAAGGTCATCTAAGAGTCTCTTCTATCACCTTGGAGTAAGGGTCATCTAAGAGTCTCTTCCTCGCCACCTTGGTGTAAGGGTCATCGAAGAGGCTCATCCAAGCCGTCTTGGGAAGAGTTATGGAGAATATTATAACCGCCTCGCCCGTTGAGAAGAGGTGTGCCTCCGCCGCATCAGCTACTTAATTACTATTAAGTCACCTCAATCCGTTATGACTGTCAGACTAGTTATTCAATTACTATGTTGAGTTACTATAAATTATAAACCTCACCAACACTTGGGGGGTAAATCAGACTCATTCGAGATAGTTCTCTCATTCTTTCTCAAAGTTTGTAATCTTCTGTTCTCTCACTACACCGAAATTAATAAAATATCGGTAACCTTTATTATTCAAAGTGGACGTAAGTCACCTTGACCGAACCACTGTAAACTTGGTCTTTTCTCTTCCTCTACTTATTTTACTTCATTTATACTGCTTACTTGACTGATAGGGTGCAAACTAATTTGTGCATCATCAAGGTATTATGGTGATTAGCATGAAAACTAAGTTTTCATGCTACAGTGTAGCATGAAACTCAGTGGGAAAAAACAAAGTTTTTATGCTACAGCATAGCATGAAACTAAGTTATTAACTTACATAGATGACAATCATAGCATGAAACTAAGTGGAAAAAAATATTCATGGTGGAAATAAACAAAGTTTTCATGCTACAGTGTAGCATGAAACTAAGTTGTTAACTTACATAGATAACAGTCATAGCATAGGAAACACGGATACGAATACGTGACACGGGTACGATACGATACAGATACGACAATACAACAAAACTTTAAAAAAAAATACACATACGGTCAGAATACGTCTATGATAAAATATATTTTATATTTTACTATTATTTAACGACTTAAAAATTATAATTTTTCAATAATTCTTTAACATTAGTAAGTAAAATTATTAATTTTTACCATGAAAATGATGTAATATCTTTTCATTATGATATATTCATAAAATGAGCATGACCAATTGAAAGAATCATAACTACATTTAACTAGTTGGTTTTACAAGTATTTATTTTTAAAAGTATAGTATAAGTAACTCATTTTTTTATACTCTTTTAACATGTAATAATAGATAATACTTAAAAAACACTCGTGTCTTCAAAATCAGATGAAATTTTGTTGATGTTTTATATTGTATGTGAACTCCAAATAAGAGGTATAGCTTAAAATTGAAAATTGCACATCTTGTTCCATATTTAGAAGTGTCTGCGAAGTATCCACATATTTTATTAATTATCGGATACAGATGTTGCGTATCCGATACGTATCATCAAGAATCGTATCAAATACGATATCCGATACGAGTACGTCGATCTTAACAAAGTATCCGTACTTTATAGATAACATGAAAACTTTTAATTTTCAAAACTAAGTTGTCATGCTATGATTGTCATCTATGTAAGGTAACAACTTAGTTTTATGCTACACTGTGGCATGAAA